GCCCAGCCACTCTGGGCAGTGATGACAAAAGGAGAGTTGCCTGTAGGAAGAACAGGGATCGCTTGCTGACAACACGAAACAAGCTGAAACCACATCTTTGAAAAACCTTCCTGCAGTTTAAGTTGAAATCCCTTTTCTCGGACCTTGCCAACAGGTGTCTCGGAGGGTATTACGGTTCAGTGGCCTTCCCCGGCAGGGCATGCTCGTACCAGCCAGGGGAGGAGGCTGATGCCGGAGCGTTGTACCGAGTGCCAAGTTTGGTGCCCTCGGATTGAGACACCACCAGCGCGTAGGAAAGGGCAATGGGAGCGGGCAAGGCCAGCGGCTGCACAAAGTCAAAGGAGAACTGAAAGCTGCACGCTGTCTGCTGGCAAAATCCAAAAATTCCTGCAGACTGTCAAAGGGTCAGCCGCCTTCCCGGATGGTGCAGGTTCATGGCAGGGCAGAACCCACACCCGTTTAACTTCGACAATCTTCCCTTGAGCTCTGGGGTTCAAAGTGAGGGTCAGAATACGCACAGTGTCGAAATCAGCCTTTTGCAAAACCCTATGGGACTGGAAATGTGCCTGACCCCAGGGACCACGCGCCCTGCCTCCACTGCTGACCCTCCAGCACGCAGCTACGGGAAGTCTTTTCAAGAGCAAAGCATTACCGACAGCAACCCCTTCCTGTTGCCGAAAATCTGTAATTTTAGCTGTAAGACTACCGGAACTGCCTCCACTCAAGCATGGAATGATATACGTATAAAACAGGTGGAGGCTACATGAGAAAGCTACTGTCGGTGAATTCAGATGGAGTGGGTTACTTGGTTGCCGCAATTAAGCGGAAACAGTAATATACATCATAAATGTTCAGATTACATGTATTACTGGTTATGTTATTGTACCGACATTCCACGTATACTTTACTTCCTCCCGTGCTGTTTCTAAACAAAAATGCCTTTCACCCTCCAGGAGGAAAGATTTGCAGAGTAAAAGCAACGCTGGAAGGTAAATTGGGGTCATAGGGTGGCTTTCAGTAGTGAAATATCTAATTGCCAGCACATTGCCTGCTGCTGAACGGTAAGCGATGCTCCGTCTACTCAGAATGCTGGCAGTTCGATTGTTCGTGCAGATGTCCTGTGAGATTATAGATGT